TTCTTGAAAAAAAAGTAAATATCTAAAACCAAAGGTAGATTAATGTTTGTAATCACTCTTAATTCAGTAATAATCTCGTCTCTTGTGCAACAGAAACTGACTCATTATCAATATTATTTAGAGTTTCGGTGAGTGGATAACCTTTATGGAATACGTTTTACCACGTCGAAAAAAAGGTAAATAAAAACGAAGAAAAAATTTATTAATTATCAACACTTTTCCTTCTAACCATTGTTACCTTTCTGATCGAACAGGCTTTTGTTGTGAGAACACATAAATAAAAATAAACCATAATTATGTATCACTTTAGATAGACCAATTACAATAAAATAGATGAGAAGATAACAACGTTATCTTAGAGATTTTTTAAACAGTTGTATTTCTTTTGTTATTTATTTACTTATATTTATATACTTAGGACCGTACACTGTATTTTTCAAAATAAGGCTCAAAATGTTCGTATTTTATCTGGAAATTCTCTCCAAACTAAATTGTCACCATAGCGTAAAATTTAGATATCTGACACGGGATTAAATGAAAAAAAAAACAAAAAAAAAATCATAACTCACTGCTGGGGGCATAGCAGGTTGGGGCCTTCTATGCGTATGGAATAAGAGCGAATTTCCATTAAAGTCCTGTTTTACGAGAGTCTAGCTGACTTTGTGTTGGTCTGGGAGAATGGAGAGCCGTTGGCAACGCAAATAGCCACTTAGGAAGCTAGTTACACATTAAACTTCAGAAAAAAGTACACGTTTATCTCTGAGCTTCTATAATTCGTCCTGATGCTAGTTAAAATAAGACTTTTTGCAATGGTTTGGTCGTTTTGAGGGCCCTGGCAGTGGGGAGCGAGCATATGAACAAATGGCTAACTGTAAAAATAATTCTGATATGGCTGTTAGAGAGGTTGACCGTAGTTGTTCCTCTAAATAAAGTACTTTTAAATGAAATATTTTAATGCTTTTTAGAGTATTTTACCTCTTTAGTATAAACATATGAATATCACGCAAAATAGTTAGAAAATAAGTCTCATATCTCCGCACAATGCAATTTTCGCTTTTAATCACAGATACTCAAATAGAGTCTAGCTGACTTAAAATGTAAAGGAGTTAAGAATGATAAGAGCAAAAATGACAAAATATCAGATTTTACACGTACGTGATGAAAAATGCCAACATGCCTTTTCATGTTTTCAAAATACTTTGAATAGGTCTGCAGGCATATCAAATGACTGTTCACAGATAAAGATAAAAACGATTGGTTAAATATAAGCGGTGCTGTGTAATTTACTCTGCCGTGACACACATACGTACATGTGTAAGTGTAGGTATACGCATAAAAATACATACATCACTCTGGCTTGCATGAAGTGTAAGCAACACAGACCTATCTACCAATAAAGTTTCAACAGACTACTCCAAATAGTTTAGTTAGAAAACCTCCTTAAAATGTATTATTGTCAACGACAGTACCACTTTTTGATATGCACAGTCATGGCCCTTCGAGTCACTGTACTAAAACGGTAGTTCACGATGACATAAAACTTAAAACGATGCATTCATGTCGCACATACATTCACTTGCTCTATTTTCCCTCCCATATTTTGTCCTGGAATTTCACACCACATTTTGTTCCAGTTTACAGAGTCAAGTACCAACTCATTCTCCGGAGCTGTTGACACACACCACTCCAGCAGCTGGCGTGTTTACTTCATGAATATTTCTCATGATTGCCACATCGCTGAATCGCCGTCCACGTCATGGTAGTTATAGTAGGGCTTCCATTTCCACAGGATGCTATATCAGGGGGAGATACTTCAGCTCGGGAGTTATGAATGTTAGGTTTGTGTTGCAAGATTTATCTATCGATTCAGTGATTCAACATTTTGTCACCTTCATAATACAAGGAAAAATGTATATTTATTAATGAGAGTTTCGAAGCGCGCGCGCGCGATCACACACAGACGCATATATATATACATATATATATATATAAATATATATATATATATATATATATATATATATATATATATATATATATATGTATATATTATATATATGATAAATATATGTAAATATACTTTTCTCTCTCTGTCTCTGTCTCTCTCTCTCTCTCTCTCTCTCTCTCTCTCTCTCTCTCTCTCTCTCTCTCTCTCTCTCTCTCTCTCTTTCTCTCTCCCTCCCTCTCTCTACATTGCGCACCAAATTGTTGACTTCAGTATCGGAAGCGTTCCTGACAATGAAATCCTGCATGTTTTTTATCTTTATCTTTATTGCGAACATTTGTTCAGATATTTCTATTTATATGTATATATCTCGTGTTATGTATATGTATATGTGTGTGTGTGTGTGTGTGTGTGTGTGTGTGTGTGTGTGTGTGTGTGTGTGTGTGTGTGTGTGTGTGTGTGTGTGTGTGTGTGTGTGTGTGTGTGCATATATGTATATATATACAGATCTACCAGCCTTAATTTTTCCATCATGTGTTTATGGATGTATGTGCG